CTTCAATCAAATTACATATATTGGAACTATTTAATAATTTAAAATGTATTAAATTATAAAATAAAAAAATATTTGATAAAAAAATAAATTTTTAAATATTTTTTTATAAAATTTTATCAAAATTATATAATTTGAAAATTTTTTTATTTAATTTCTAATAACACAAACTAATACCCACTAATCCTAATTAATAATAATATATCAAATTGCCATTTAAATGTCACGTATATTATACCTTTAACCGACTCGCTAGTTTATCCATCCAGACATCCTAGTAATTGTGAACTTGTCACATCGGCGCACATCTTTAGTAATTGTTGACTTGTCACGTAGCCGACATGCTCGCAATTAATTATGCGTACGGAAGGATATCTTTCGTGATTGTGTCGAATTAATGGTTAAAATTAAAATTGAAACTTCAATTTTGGTTCTTAAATTAAAAAAATAATTGATTTGATCTTTAAATTATTATACAGACTCGATTTAGTTCATATTATTGACTAATTTAATCTCAAATTAATCCTTTTATGTAAAAAATAGTTAACATGTTAATTATTTAATGGTAAAAAATAATAACTTAAATGTCACGTATCACATTAATAATAAAATATATCAATTATTTTTTGTGCAAAATTATCAATTTAAGGTAAAATTAGTAAACAATAAATGCTAAATTGGGTCCATACAATAATTTAATAATCAAATCAGATATTTTTTTGATTTAGAGGTTAAATTAAAAATTTTTTTAATTTAAAGACTAATTCAAAAGTCTATATAATAATTTAATGATCAAATTGAGAATTTAACTTAAAATTAAAAGAAAAGCATGGCGTATACAGTAGAACGTTCGGCCCTACCGGACTGCGCCAGGAATCGTGGTTCCAAGAATAGTTTAAAATACAAAGGGGAAATTAAAGAAAATTTTGATGGGACACTTTCTTGGGCGCTTCCTGAGCGCTCCACCGACGGTCAGGTTCATTTCCTCGGAACCAAAATCGAATCAGCGGTGGTTAGAAATTAGGATTATTAATATTAGATGATTGAAAAAATAAGACACATTCTAATTCATTAATTAATCAGTTAAATATGATCAATTATTCGGTTCCATTGGTCCCCCGACAGGAGATCAGTTTCTTAATCCTTAATTAGTTAAAATATAACCAATCATGCCTTACATGTGGATTATACAATAAAACACAATGTCTTGGGGGCATTGGTAGAGGATGAAGCAAACTCAGTAGCTACTACCGAATTTTTTTCTATTAATATCCTTAACACGAGTGCATTGTATACCTAAACACGGCACATCTAGTTTTGAGTCTTCTAAGTTATTAGTTTTTTATTTAGTTTAACGATTATCATACTTTTAGGACAAGTAATATTATAAAGAATAAAAATTTAA